ATGTAAGAGAATTTAACAAACTATACCTTGTATGTATTCATCTTTATAAAAAAAAATAATAATAATAATTTTAATTTCTCATTATCTCATAAAATTTTCTTAGAGTTTATTTGAAAAAATAAAAATATTTTTTACAATTTAAAGTTTTAAACATTGATGGATTCCGTCGATCTAGATCAGCTGTCAAACAAAGTTTGGCGATATTAAACATCTTGCAGAAAGCCACAGTTAGAATGAGGAATATACTATTGAACAATGGTTTGACCAGTACGAAAAATTTTATATGTTTGTTACACGAATTTAGAGTTAATACAAGTTATACATCCAGTTAAATTAAGGTAACTTACTTTGTTTATATGGCAAATTTTCATTTGTTTCAAAAATGTTACATAAAAAAAGAAGATTTTATTAATCTGACGCGCTAAAGTTACGTACAAATTACAATATAGCACAGGCAGACTAAACGACTAAACAAGTAAAATTCAATACATTTTTGTTGTGTTACTGTATGAAATAATGATAAATTTTTCTAAAGTACAAGGGGTAAATTTAAAATTTTTTAATTTGGCGAAGATAAGATAAAGATAAGGCCCTTGTTTATTTATTTATATTATTTACTCGACAAATATTTTCATCATATATATAAAAAAAATTTTTTTCTATATTAAAAAATTTTTTTATAATTAAAACTCTATCATTGACTATATTTATCTTCATTTATTCCATTTTGTATTGCAAGCAAATATGTCCACAAGGATAACTAAATAATATAAAATAAATAGATGATAAATAAACTCCGATATTTTCATTCAACGAATAACAAACAGGAGTTCGTTACGTGTAGTGATGAACGAATCATATTTTTAACGAAAAATCTTAAAAGTATAATTCATTTTATGATTTAATAATTTTATTTATATGCACAAAATCAGTGTCTTGAAAAGTCAATGACAATAAGTCATTTAAATCATTGACCAAAATGGAATATTTGTAAGTAAGCAAAGGAATTTTAAAATCTTTTATTTTATATGGTTCAAATAAATTTCAAGCAATTTATAATGTATAAATATAAATAATCAATTGTTGTACGGGCGGCGGCAGTGTTCAAAATTGGATGTGCGGAATGTGAGCTCCGCACATGACCTTGAAATTCGCTCTGCTTAGTAATATGGCAAAGTATATTGCGCACATCATCTATAAAAATTCTCACACAATCATGGTACTAGACTACCGAAATTACCGACCCATCCTTATAATGCCTTAAGACGATGATACTGTACTATATTGTCAAAATTTTACAGTAACTGCGATTTGCCGATTTGGGGAGCGATATTGTTTTCAAAATGAAGCCACATTATTAGCGTATAATGCTATTTATTTATACTTTACATTTCAATTAAATTAAATTGTTGTAAGAACTAATTATTATTCCTATGAAAATTGGAGCTACGAGATTTTCTTTGAATAAATATTCTAACATCCATTTTGCAGTTTCTTCATGTGTATTTCTTCCATCTGTGCGAGAATTGCATACCATTTCTTTCTTGATTATTTATTTAAGAGTAGTTTGAGACTTTGAGTCTCTTAATATATAATATTGGAGTAATGCATATTATTTTACGGTTATTTAATATAGAAAAGTGGAAAAATTAAATTAAGTTCTGATCCACGAGAAATCGGCTATGTATTTTTATCTGTAGGGGCTATATAGATAAGTAATAAATATTAAAATATATTATAAAATAAATTCTTTTGGCAAAGTTTCAAGAATTTTTTCACACTTTCCTATAAGCTCAAAAAATCAATTCTTTAAAATTTACGATTTTTTATAATATTTTTGTCCCCAGTAGATTTGGACCTCAGAAAAATATTATAAGATTTCTCGCTCGATTGAGATAAAATTACTACCATTCAATTCGTCTCAGTGAGACGAATTTAACGAGCTATATTTCTTACTTCCAATAGATGCTGAGTTATAGAAATGATATTTCCCCAAAATTTATTATTAAAATAATTCCGATTTCTCACGGATTGGTCTTAAGTTTCCTTTTTTTTTAAAAAAAAAAAAAAGAAAAGAAACAAAGTATATATATAAATTTACGAAATTTTTTTTTTTTCAAAATTTGGAAAATTGTCAATATTTAAGAGTTATTTATAAAATCTTTCAGTTTATATTAAATATGGTTACAGTCTGATTTCCCAAATGGCATCTTCCTGAATATGCTTTTCCCGAAATCAATTACCTGAATGTCAATTTTTTGAAATTGAACATTTCCTGAGACATCCAATTTCCCGAATCTCTATCTCCTGAATTCCAATATCCATGAATCCCATAAATTGCTGGTTTTAAATTTTGTAAACAATAATATTTGTAGAATTGCTAAATAAGAGATCATTAAATTTTACATCATTATGATAATCTTTAAATTTAATAACTTGCTCATATCCATAAATAGTAGAATCCCGTGCAAAAAAAGTAACTATCATATCGCCTGCACTTACTAATCAATAAATTATATGTATATGTCTTAAAACAATGATCGATGTAATTTGTTTATTATACAAAATGCATTCAAAAGTTCATTCAACTAGAATGTCTCACTTTAAAAAATTGGGATGTAATCATAGTTTAAAAATAACACTTCGATATGTCAAGAAAACTAACTGATCAACCATACGTAACTGAAAAATTATTATACCGAGAAACTTTTCTCCTTTAATAATGAATAAAATATTTGTATTATTTAGCGGAAATTAGTCAAATCCTGATTAGTGGTTTGTAATATTATTTTCATTTTTATTCCATATGATTTATAAACTACCAATAAATTTTTAAAAAATACATTTTCAATTCGGGATATTGGAATTCAGGATATTGGAATTCGGGAAACAGGGATTCGGGAGATTGGAATTCGGGAAACAGGGATTCGGGAGATTGGATATTCAGGGAAATGCCCAGTTCGAAAAATTGGCATTCAGGTAATTAACTTCAGGAAAATGGTCCGATAGGGATTAAAATTATTCTCAAATGACCAAAATTCCACTTGTGTAGTATTATATATATTGTTAGGATTGGGTGAACTTCAAGTTATTACTTGCATATTATTTTACTTGTTGAAACGGCTGCATGTAACTTAATTAATTCTGGCCGGTAATGCTAAATTTGACCCGAATTAAAGTTTTGAAGTATTGAATATTTCTGCGGAGCGGAAAATTTAGAGGGGATTCCTTAATGTACAGTGGGGTGTACGATATTAATGTACGAACTGGCCGGAGTTAACGTTAACGCTATCACGTGCAAGTTCATAACTCCTAAACTCGGGCCAGTTTGTACGTTAATATTGTACACCCCTACTGTACGTTAAGGACGCCCAATTTAGAGATCCTGATATTGGAGGTCCCTTAACGTACGCACCGTGCTACGTACATCCTACCAGAGTTATGCACTTGCACGTGATAGCGTTAAACTTAACTCCGGTCAGTGCGTACGTTAATATCGTACACATGATGCGTAAGTTAAGGATGCTCCCAGATATTGTTCATATGATATTTGTCAATGTAACTTACTAATTGTAATATATAATAATTTTTAAATAAAGTATTATTTTTTTTGAATTTATCTGTTATATTCTGCGGCTCAGCTAGCTGGCATTTTACATACCGGCTGACATACAAAAAAAAACAAAACATTAAATTTTTCGAGAACTCCGGAATTATATATTATATGATATTAAAGATTACAAGGTATATCAATTAATCCTCAGATATTCAAAATAATTTAACAAAATATGAAACAATAATTGTACCGAAACTATAATGAAAACAAGACCGGAATTAACTAAAAGAAAAAATTAGTCATATATAACACGTGATTTATGAATATATAGTTAACCTATTCCAGGGTTTCTAGTAACTATAATTATTTCACGTTAAGCGATAGTTTTATATAGCATCCTATTCTTGGAGTGGTAAGAATAGGCTGATGGATTTTTATATATTTATTTATTTATTTAAGGTATATTTTAAATTGATCACATGGGTGGCTTGCATTAGCCGCTTATCCATGTGCCACATTGATTAAATAGTTAAATATTATTGATCAAATAGTTTATCTATCAGATCTTTTTTTTACTGCTTTCTTTCTTGTTCGTTTCACTCCTTTAGTAAAAACCATATTAAATTCCTTTTTCTTTCAACATTTTTAACATGAACGAACTATTTTCGCCACCATCCTTTAATAATATTAATATTCCTGAAGAATTTGGTCTATCAAGAGAACTTTTTTTCTTTGATAATCCTGGTAAGAAATGACCAAACTTACCAAATTTAACATTAAACTTGTTCCTATTCGTTGGTTTAAAGATAATTATATGCAGATGAACCCAAACATGGTTGCAGCCTTTATAACAACTCAAGGAGATCATGTAGCATGACAAACGGTATTGTGTTTCAAATTCGTGGTGATTTAAATGCAAGGCGAATTAGAGATCTATATGGAAAAATTTCAAGTGTTTTTAAAGAAGCACTCAAGAAGGCCGTTGATGAAGGGTCGTGTAGCACATAAAAGGATTAAGTCTTCCATTGAGGCGCAATACTGCTTTATCAGACAATAGCAGGTGCGCTATTGGAGAATTCTCATGAAAATCGAGAAAGTAACAAAAACATGCACTGCTGGTTAATTGTGATGGTTAATTTATTTGTTTAATCATTGTAATGAATAATATTTGTAACTATTGCTTTCAATTTTAATTAACAACTAATTTTAAATTTGCAAACTTTGAATTATATTTATTATTAAATCTTTAAAATAATGGCTCGAATTACACTAGTAATTCGCCGGAGCAAAATTTAGCGGTTGACAAATAAAAATTTACTCCTGGTTGACAATCTTAAACAAAAAGGTGAACATGACGAATTTATATTTCTGCCGAGTTCGTACAACAATGATAGATACGATACACGACGTTACTTATTTACTTATTCCATTCTCCACGTGACAGTGGCGCGATATAACCTCACTTTATTTTTACACAAAACTTTCGCTCTTTTCTCTTTTGACCTTTTATTTTAAAAAAAACTTACGCCCCTTATCTTTGAAAGCACCTCTCTTATACTTTAATTTAGTATTTTCTTTTAATAATGTGGTAAGTTTCACTTATTTTTTCTTCTGCGCTATTACTTTAAAATATTTCGTCCATTTTCTTTGGAAAAAAAACTTTAAAATGCCTTTCCTCTTTTAAGGGATTCTTGGCACAGCTAGCACATGCAACATTTATTTTTTTTATTGCGCGTTTCGCGAAAAATGTTTTATCAACATTTTAACAAAATTTAAATTTTGCAAATAAAAAAGAACTTCAAAAAGTTTATTTTCCTTTTTTATTTTTTTTTTGTAGATTACCAATTTATTAAATATTTCATTTAAACGAAAATCTAAAATTTTAACATTGCAATACAACTAACACTACAGTGACTACACAAAAGTTAAAATGCCAACTCCAAAAAAAAAGAAATATTCCTAAAGAAAGAAGTGTTTAAACCAAAAGAAACATTTAAAAAGAAGGAAAGTTAATACTCGATAAATAAACTTACAATGTTTTAACAAAAGAAATCCTAAATAATGCACCCACATTTGTATTTTAAGAAAAGGGGGATAAATAATATGCCCATTCAGTTTGTTTTGTTTATCGCAATTACATAGTAAAATATTATGTCAAATTGATCAGCATACACGGGATTTTATATCAGGTGAATCTGCAAAAATTTTTACCTAAGACAAAAAAAAAACTTAATATAAAACCCGTTTTAACCCATGTAACATAGTCAACACCAACTAACTTAGGGTAGGTCATTTTATAAGTTGTATGAATAGTTATAAACTTATAATAAAAAATTTTTTTTTATTTATAAGCTTGTTTTTCTATTTCTATTTCTCTTATTTTTTTTCTTAACAAAATCTTGTTCTAACTTCTTTTTACTCTTCTGTAGTTTCTTATTTACAAAGATATTTTCGAAGATAAACATTGAAAGAAGCTAAAATTGACTTCTTTAATACTCTTTACTTTTTACTTTTCTATAGTAGAGGATGGTTTTAATTAGGGACTTAGAATTAGCACGTGATATTACGCTAAAAATTTCAGCCCATTTTTTTTTATTTTATCAAATCGTACCATCCATTAAATTTTAGAGTTACAACCATTACACTGTAAAATGAGTTAGGAATTTTGCTTAATTCTTACTTCATGATTTCATCGGCATTTTATGCACTAATTAATAATTTGGCGTAGTCAACAAGTCATATGTTACGTGAGTAACGTGGTAATAACTTTTTAAGGGATAATTAATTTTTAATTTATACGATTTATGGTAAAAAGTAAAACCTGGCGTATAATCTATAAATAAAAAAATTTCAAATAGACATAAATATACAAAAGTAGTGTGATATAGCGTGGTGTCTCACAATCCTATGAAATTTCGCATTCAAAATTACATTCAAATTTTACATCTATGTAACGGGACGTTATAATAACGTAACCCGATTAACGATAAAATTTATAACAATAAAATTTTTGTCATGCGCAACTTACAAATTAATAATTCTTAAAAAAGTGAATCTTTGAAAGAAAAAAAGTGACGGTTATTTTACATAATAAACGTTTATCGTGTATATAAAGTTTGGTCGTCTTTTTAAAGATAATAACGCATATTGAAACACTTTTAATCTTTTTTCGCTAAATGAGCACCATCTCTTATGGTTAAGACTATTAAAAATTTTTATAATGGAATCGCTTAATCAATTATATGTTCTATAGTTTATGTTTTCTTTTAGTCTTTTAGTTCATAGTCGCCACTTATCGGTATGAATTTAAAATTCTTTTCTTTTCGAACATAAAAAAGAAAGAAATTTAAATTATTAATTTACAACAAATTAAAATGCTGGCATTTACCATTAGGTATAATAACTCTTTTTGATTGTACAAATCGGGTACTTGGCTAAAAATTAAATTTTTAATTCATCATCTAAAACTGATTAGATCTGCAATATGCACGTACTGATCTTTTTCATGTGAACAACTGAAAGAAAATGAAATATTAATTTCGTCAGATAGTATAGTTATTGAGTATGATATATACTTCCGATGTTGTATAGTATAGTATAAAAAAACTAAAAAAACTATACTGTATAGATTTTCGTCAACTATACTATACAACATCGGAGGTATATATCACACTCAATATCGTTTAACCGATTTCGTCAGTTTGTTATTTTTAATATATTTAATATATCGGAACACGTCATTATATCATTTTTTTCGGGGGTAATAAAACTGTATAAGCATGGTATAATATTCTAAATTAAAATATCGCGTAAAGGAATTAAATTTAAGCATTTGAATTTATAATTTTTATTTAAAGTGACTGAATAAAGTAAATAAATTCATGAATGAATGAATAAATGAATGAATGAATAAAGCAATTACGTTTTTAATTTATTGACTTTAAAATAATACATATAAAAAAAAAAAATTTTTTTTTTTTATTAGCGACACCAAAGTAAAATTCTAGTAGTCCAAATAAAAAAAAAAATTCTCACTCCAAAAAGCCTTTTATGATAAATTTAAAGTCAAATAAACGGCATTTTTGATACCTCAATTATTTCATTATAATGTTTTTAATAACGGATTAAATAATCGTTGTTTTGGAACGGATAAAATTTTCTTCGTGTAACATAACAAAGATTTTCCGATGAAATCAGAATCCCAAAACCGAAAATTTAAAAATCCTGACACTCATTACACTCATTATACCAACACTTAATATCTTTTTTTTTAAAAAAAAATTAACCTTTTTTTATTAATAAGTCGCAAAAGTCAAGTAACAATTAAAAATATCTTTATTAATATGTAAAGATTTTTTTAAAAAATATTTCGAAGATTAACTGTTAATGTTTTTATTAAAAATTAATAAATTTTTTATTAATATTTAAATAACTGAATTTAATAATACTTATAATAATTAGTTATTAGTTAGAAAAATAAATTTCGTTTTTTTATTTTATATTATCACTGGTTCGATTTAGTTGGAACTGATCAAATTATTTATTTAATAAACTGGAAACGAAGAAAAAGATACAACTGGGATTATTTGAGTGAAAATATTTATTAATAACATCAAGTTCTTGCCAGTAAGTTTAACGTTATTTTGAAATGTAAATAAGTTTTATGACTATATAATATTAACAAGTACTGATTCTTATTTATTTTATTATAGATCTTATTGGATAAACAAGATTATGTATCTTTAAATATTTATAACTATAGATAGATTAATGCGTTGGGTTATTAAGGTAATTTTTGAGTTGTTAAAAAGAGATTTGTTTCTTCTTTCAAAAATTAAACTAATTTTTGTAAAGTTATAAAAAGAAATAATAAAAAAATTCTTTTTCTTTTGAATTTCGAACGCGAAAATGACGGTGTTTAAATATTTCAATTAATGTTGATCAACATGTGATGGTGTTTTATTTTTATCTATAATTTGATCTGAAGGGATATACACAGACTGTGGGTCTAATAGTATCTCTATAATTTATTTAGTAGTACAGAATTTCTTTTTTTAGTTAATTAAAAAAAAATCAATAATTGCAATATTCCCTATAATGATCATTTATCTGAGTTTTTACCAGAACTTTTTTATAGGGTATTTGGCGTGAAAGTCGCAGTTTTCGGTGAGGCATCGCTACTATACTTAAGGCTGAATCACCAGTGATTCCTAATAAAACAACGATTACGAAGTATTATGGGAGTGGCTTGGCATTATTTTTTAAAATTTTTTGTATTCATGAAGGTATTAAGTGTCGGGATAATGAGTGTCGGAATTTTGAATTTTCGGGATTATGGGTTAGCATTATAATGAGATTCTGGGATTTCGTAGTAAATCCCGTTAAACATTCTCTGGAACATGCAGCGACAACTTGGCATTTTCTACATACTAATAATTTCCAAATATCACTTACTAATGATTACCGATTTTTCACCATTCTAAATGTATGAAACATCATATGGGGACTGATCTAGATTAGAGAATATTTTTTCAAAATTGAGATTTTTATTACATTATACTTTTTTGATATGACTAGATTAAAATACAAAGTTTAACCAAAAAATTCTTTTACCTTGATTTTCTAGATCAGTCCCATATTATATAAAGCGGCAACATATCCAGCGTATATGAAATAACTGATGAATGAATAAGAATAAATTAATTTCGCGATTTTGAAAAGTTGTGATTCAAAATAAATGGGATTTTAAATAGTTAAGTCCGAAATATCATCTTCTTATGTCATTCTTTTACTATATATATGAATACTTTTGTAATTCAACATTGGTAACGGATGAGTATGCGAGTATTTTAGTCATCGGGTTCAATCACAATCACGTGGTATTTTTTAAAAAAATGACGTCATAAGAAATTAGGAAGTACATAATATTACACGTTCATTTCTTAATCATCATGATATATTTCAAATATATAACAATTTTAAATTTAACAAATTCTTACATTGATTATGAAAAACATTTCTTTTTATTGCAATTATATGTATAAATATGAAAACGAAAAGTACTGTATAATGCTATTTGGTGTTTATCTTCTGTATCGTAGAAGTTGGAAGGTTTGTTTGTATCAAGTCTCATATTTGTATCATCATCATTCATTAACTAAACAAAAGAAATAAGGGAAAAAATAACAAATTAAGCAACATATATTTTTTTAAATAGAACATTGGATTATTTTACAATAGTGAATTTAAAATTAGATAGATGATCGGGTGTACAATTTTTTTTACAAACAGATCATCATAATATTTTGAGACATATATGTTATTTTCATATGAATGCCTTATGATTTCTAGATCTGACTTAAATTCAATAAAATCGCTAGTTAGGTGGTCGGGATGATCAGTACGTACAAATAAAGAATAATAATTATACAATATACAGTTACGCGTGCAACGCTGGAGTGAGCGCCCCTGTAAAAAAAGTCAATCCGTTTTTTATATTCCATCTTTTTTCCGTAAAAGGCTCATATTTCCGGAATTAATAACCTTATATCGCGGAATTTATCGAATTATTTACATTTTCCGTGAATAGATCCGTGAAAGGCTCATTTTTACGGAATTTTTACAGAAATAACGGATAAAATTTTTTATAGGAGCGGTTAATTAATTAAATTAAAACTATTTGTGGACCCATATAAAATTTATTATTGAAATTTTTTTTTTTCACGTAAATTACAGTATATGGCAATAAGTGTCGATTTCATTATACGTAATTGCGTATAAAATAATAAATGATAATAAATCTATTTTAACTTCATTTATTACCTAGTATACAACTACTAGAAAGGTTTGATGCGAGTTCTTCTCCAAATGATGGGGATTGTTTTATCTTTGAAGCGTGAAATTTTTTTTTCGTTCTCTTTTTTGAACACGAATTTCTTTTCCAATCTTATCTAATCAAAGGTTTGAACCGTTTTCACATCGAAATCTTAAAAATTTAAGAACTTTGTATTTAATTAACATTCAAATCCTATAAAAAATTTTTTCAGAAAGATGATCACGTGTCTGAGTTTCTTTGGAATAAAAACTAGAAAAATGATCATTTATCGGAGTTTTTCCCGGAATTTTTTTTTTATAGGGAAAGAATATATATAATAAATTAAATGAATATACAATAACCTAGTAAAAAAAATGCTGTAACAGAGCGATTTTACATAGATATATCCGAAGGTATTACTTTATTATTTTCGAGACGTGAAACACAATTTTTTTTTTGGAAACCCGATCTGTTACACGAAAGAGATAAATGTTTTTGCAGGATTTGGAACATAAATAATAGGAAGAGTTTAAAGTTGTCAGAAGTAGAAATTTATTATAAGGTTATAGTTAATTATAGTTTAATATGATAAAAATTCACATATAGTTTTATTTAATTAAATGACCGCGTTGCGGTATTCAACTTTATTTAGTATAAGTGTACTTTCTTGGGACATAGACATATATAGTGAAGTGTGTGTGCGCACTTATAGAAAGTAAATTATATTGTTTAGGATTAAACTAGAGCGTGTATTTACGGAAGGTGTACATGCGAGAGATGGACTGTACGAACTAAGCGTTAATTTAATTAATTTAATTAACAATCTAACACTCTAATTTCATTGAGTTTTTACATGAAAATTTTTTTAAAGGGTTTCTCTTGTGATTAAAATATTGAGATCAAGAAAATTACATATGATTTTACATTTCTAACGAAAAGTTATTAATTTTGTTTAGGTTAATAAGTATAATTGTTATAAAAAGAAGACTCGAAGTTTTTCAATTAAAATAATTAAAATGAGTTTAGGAGTGCAAACTAATTATTGGGCAAATGATTTTTTTGTGCGGTTTTTTACTTTTTTATGCAAAATTATTAATTATTTAATAATATTAGTATTATTTATTTCATGGGGAGTTGGAAATAATAGGGTAATCCCCTGGAGCGTGTCACTCATTAAATATTAACTATTTTAACTATTTTAAACTAAAATTAGTAATTTCCCGGCTATCTATATATGAGACCGGGAAATAACTAAACGAAGATTCCCGGTCATTTATAAACTCAGCTAATCACTCGCAATTTTTAAAAATTAGTATGAAGGTGATCATGAGTGACACTTAGTGCGACAGGGGATTAATAAAATTAATTCATACTATTGCTTATTTATTCTTGCGTATTTACAGTAATAATATTTTGTTTCGACAATTACTAAATTTGTGTTAGCTGCAGAATTAAGGCGAAGTTTAGTTGTCACAACGTAACAGTCGTAACACATCCTGGTGGAATTTTCTGGAAAAAAAAGTTACTTATCACATTGTATTTTGTACAGAAAACAATTTAAACTACTAGTATTGTTAATAATAATAACATAAATTGTACGTAATCCGCCATACACAATAACGAAAAAGGAAAAAAAACAATGAAACATCCGCCATCTCTTCGATAAATCGATAAATAATAAGTGATTTGCACAAGATTCTTCAATAATTTAAAAATGTCTTTATTGTTTCTTAACTAAAATTAGATGTTGTTCTTTGTTGATAAACTTTAAAAGGTGTCTTTTAAAAAATAAATAGGTAACCGGAATAATTTTGTCTTTTTTTCCGTTCATTGATTTACTAAAAATAAATGTAAATCTGAAAAAAATTTGGTTTTATTAACATCAACGGACATAAGATCATAATTTCCGATTGTAATTATTTTATAATATACTTAACCATTTTCTTCTCGTTACTAACTGTTATCATCGAAAAAAAATATTTATTTTAAATTTTATGATAAATTATTACCGATACTCATAAGTTGATGAAACAAGTTTAAATAAATCAAAGCCAAAATACTATATCAGTAAGACTGCAATATATATATATAAAAATACGGTATATACAGTGTTATAAAACTTTATTGTCATTTATATAATGAAATATCTGCAAATTTCGGCCTTATGATAATCCATGGATAAATATTTTACACGGTCACACTGATTTTCAAAAATTTCTTCGTATTTCTAAAGAAACAAAGTCATTAAACGCGAAAAAAAAAAAAAATTTCATCTTTACAAACTTTAAAAAAAATTTTTTGAATAATGTAAACAATGGTTATTTAATATAGGTATCACATATTATAAAAAAAAAAAGTTTCGGAAGTTTTTGAAATAAAAAATTTCCTTTTTTCTTTCAAAAAAAAAAAAACGGGGTTTAATTATAAAAAAAAGATAATGACCATAATATTGAATTTTATTTCTATTTAACCTAAATCTCATTCAGTAATGGCACTGTAATAACCGAACGAAAAATCGTATTAGTGAAAAGATGTTTTTTTCAGTATGACAATAATAAAAGAATAGGGGTTTATTTACAGTAGTAAGTTTCAATTTTATATATATATATATATATTATTCCGAGTTTATTATTTTTATTACAGGAAAAGTCACTTTATATTGCGGGCCATAGTCCCCGATGCATAAGTATTCGCCCCCCTCTTTCACTCGAAAAAATGGTTCTATTTTCTATTGATTTTATTATTTAAAGAATATATTTTTACCCAGACATTATATATAAACATTTTTCTGATTACTTTACAAGCATTTTATTCATAATAGCAATTAATGGTGTTACAAAGTTAACCCTGAAATTTGTAACTCACAGTATACGGTGCATAGAAAAATGGCTAGCGATAAACTAAATGTAATACGTAAATTTTATATACAATTAATCAACAGAGCTGCCCTTCAGGCTTTCACAAAGTTGAACGACTCAACTTTATAACCCGAGCAAGTGAAGAACAATTTATGTTTTGGAAGTTCTAAGGTGAATAGTTGGTTCTGTCGGTGAATTTTTCAAATGCTACCGTGAAGAATATTGAAAGATTTTTATTTCGAATTTGATAAGAAAAAAATAAAAATAAATGTTATTTATCGTTATAACTTTTTTTCGAGTGATATTAACCACGAATCGCACCTAAAATTCAATATCTTGGATTTTTATTAGTAAAATTGCAGATACTGTATATTCTTTGTCATACATACAATTTAATGAATATGTAAATCCAATTGAAGTAGGTGGAACATTAATTGCATAGTTATCTGCACAACGATATAGCAGATATAGCAGAAAATCGATTAATAAACTGCCTCGGAGATTATTTGTAGTTTGTTATTTATCATAATTTGGTGATTCTGTAGATAAAATACATTTAGCTGTTTATCTGTATAATCGTGATCGCAGATAAGAGATATTAGGTCGACAAAGAATAATATATATAGAATATTTAAAATTTAAAAATTTACCAAATTAGGAAAGTATCATCAATTTTGAATTAGTAAATATTTTGAAGCTTAATATAAATTGAGTAAATTAATTTTTAATTGACAATATAAGAAAATTTTTTTTAAAACTACCGGAAATTTTCCGAAAAAATGCCAGTTTCAAAGTTGCATTCTTCCTGTTTATTCCTTAACATGAAACTCATCTGGAACCCCTTTGCATGATAATATGTTTGCAAACACATTAAGTACGTTATATTTATTATATTCCAAATTTAATGCGAAAAAAATAATAATTTAGCCCGTACCAAATTTGAAACTATAATAGACAAATGATAAGACATTCTTGTAAATTCATTTAAAAAATGAATAAACAAAAAGAAAAGATACCAAACATAAAAGTGATTTTATTTAAATGTAAAAAAATTTGATTATCTTCATCTGTTGATTCATATATCAGTATTGATCTACTATGATTACAGTTGAATTCTTTATTATAAAAAAATAGTCAATAAAATCAAGCTTTATTTATCCTTGCAAGGATTAGAGTTACATGTACAGTATATCCTTTCTATTGATCAAAACCCGAATAAATTAAATATATATTATATAGTCTTTATTATGAAAAAATATCTATAGTTTAGATTAAAAAAAGCTCGATCAGGCTCATAAAAGATTGATGGATAAATTTTATCAATCTCTTTAAGTGAAAACTTCAAGCAAAAATTAAAAATTTCTCATAATATATCTTAAATATACACAGATAACATACAGTAAATAAAAATGGTAAGATTTATCGATTACACTCAAAAAAATACAATTCTTAAATTCTTAATCAAATATAAATAATATAAATAAAAAAAATATTTTATTTATGATTTAAAGTTCCGTGCATAACCTGATTCTAGAATTGTTGGGGGCCGAATAAAAAAAAAATTTTTTTTAATTATAAGATACTTAATAGAAAGACTTATTTACTATCTATCAAGAATTCTAACAAGTTTTGAGAATGTTTTGTAATACTTTAAAATTTATTCACAATCGATGACCCACCCATTACAGTTATTATTCTTCATCTAGTAACATGTATATTTTCCATACAATGATCTACTGTCCAATCGTCTCATGACAACGTGTGCAACCTCATGAAAAACTCCGATAAATGATCATTTTCTAGTTTTTATTCCGAAAACTCCGACATATGATCAATTTTCTAGAAAATTTTTTATAGGGGCAATACATATCTTAAGGTCAAGTACGTAATTTGAGCGAATCAAGCAATATTGAGTAAATAATAGTTAATCAGACGGCAATTAGATTAGAGCCAGTCGAAAATCGAATCTTCGAAATCGATTTGATTTCTAATTGCATCCCAAGATTTCAAAATCTCGCACAAGTCTTCCATCTCCGATCTCTTCTTCTTTAACTTTTTTATGAATCAACTCTTAAATCATTAATTTGGTTGTCAATTTGATCGGAAATTTTACGTGTAAGTTTATTATTTTTCTTTGTTTCTTGCATGATAATTTCCTTATCGATAACATTTAGATCAAAATGTTGAGTGAAAGTGCAGGGATTATTGTTAACCAAAAAAATAGTCTTATATGGTTATCGTTTATTGCTGCTACTAAGTGTTAAATGCCCATTTAATGATAATAAAATGTTGTTATTCGTCTCCATTTTTTTGTATTATATCTCGATGTAAAAAGATTATCAACTAATAACAATACTATCAAAATTCTTAATAGTCAGTCTATATACGTAAAATCAGATATAGCCTTTTACTTTGAACGAAAGTTTCAAATTCATTTCTTTATAATGTATATAAGAAGACTGGACTAATAGCCTTGAAAAAAAAAAATTGAAGAGTCTGTTAATAAGAATGTCGTACAGTTTTAGATCTATCCAAAGGAATAACCTTTCATTGAAAGGGCAATTAACTCATCAATCAGTTTGGATATATAGGTATGAAGCATTATTAGATAATTTAGTAAATGTGAATGCCTCCTACGTGGCAGACTTTATTTTTGTTCCTTCTCAGATAAGTCCAGCAAATTCATTCTATTCTGTTTCATCTCAGTTAATTTTTTTATCATTCAAAGACTTCAAAAAGTCATGAAAGAATTTGGTCATCTTTTGTTTTAACTTTATGAAAATTTTCAAGTGAAAATTCTAAATATTTGATTGGTTACCCTAAATCGACTCTGCGAAATATCAAATTTTTGAAAAATTCCTTTGATCTATAAACACGTAATTTATAATATGTAATAGCGTCCCCGGAAAAAATGGTAACCAGATTTATATGCCAGTTCTTTAGAATTTAGGTTAGTTAAGGGGTTCAGGATTAGGAATAATTTTGTCACAGAGTGAACTTGTTCTTCAATTTGATAATTATTCTGGGGACTTGGAAATTTTTTTTTAATATGAAAATACTACTAATTGTTACTCTTTATCTTTCTATTAGAAAAATAATTATTTCAAACTATCATCTGAATTTATAGTTATAGAGAAAGTGTTAAGGTGTTAAGCAATTAAACTGTAATAAATGTCAACAAATATATTGTCTTGATATTAATTTTCTGAGCGTAATAATTAGAATACATATAATCGAATAATTAGATATTATATGATGTATCAACTGAAGAAGATAATGGGTTATATAATAACTTAATTAATGCTACTGGAAAATATTTGTTAAGCCACTGTTAATTTCATTTGTTATTTTTCATGAAAAATAAATGAAATTATGAGTTGAAAAATTTTTGGTTTGAGAAAAACAAAGCTGTATCACATGATATAATGTACAGAGCCGAACAATACAATACATAAAAACAAAATCTTCCTCTTTTTTGGATAATGACAGGCGACATTAGGCCCTGAAATAAATTTATTTGTGCCGATCTCTTGACCTATTTATATATTACAGGGCATCCCCGATATAATAATTATCATTGACATTAAAGTTAGGTTAGGTAAGAACAGCGAGAAAGGTTAGAATAAATCCCATAAGAGGGCTCCAAGGAAGTTTTTTAGAAACATGTCTTTAAATTTGACTTACACTAATGATCGACTAGTATACAATTTGTATATAAATAAGTACTCAAAGCCCGTCATGATATGTCAAATAAATTTATTTTCCAATATAACAGATAATAATTGTCCGATAATGTAATTTTATTGTGTACCATTCCCCTGTTTATTGTGGCGTTAAGATGCAGATCACATGTAAATATGTAAATTTGTATGATATTCCCGGGGCTCGGCTATTATATGTACATGGTTGATTGTGATTTCACCCGAATTGTCTATAATTTGATCACACAAAACGCCACACCGCCTTAATGCACAAATTACTAAAAAAATTTTTATTTATTAATATCTTCATACGAAAAAAATATTTAGGTTATTTTATTTTTTATTTCATTTTCTTTATTTACCATATAAATAAATGTTGACAAAAATGTCCTTCAAAGGTGTAATCCTTAACTATACAAAAAAACCATACAAAGGGCAAAAATTATTATGGACAATAAAGAATCTAGAATCATTTTATTCAAATTTATACAATAGGAATAATAAAGAACAATTCTCGTGAATCGAAAATTGTATATTAATTCAATTAAGAATTTTTTATTTTATATTGCATTAATAGTAATAATCATTATAATATACTGAATCGGAAGAAAACGTAATCGGAGCGTGTATATGAGAATTACCGTTTATCTCAATAAAAAGGACTTTTCCATGAATATGAAAATCATGAATTTAAAGCATAATTGAATGTTATTTTCACAAAAAGATGTTCGGTAATAACAATTTTAAGAAACGGGATTTTTCTCTATAAACCGAAAAAGGTAAAATAGAATAATGATATCTATTTTTATAGCATGATTGAAAGAATACTGTGTTATAAAAATGGAAACTTTTTTCATTATTTACACTATTATTACTTCATACAGCAAACTATGGTATAAAAAAAAAATTTTTTTTTTTTTATATATAATCACTTAAAAAAAATTTTAAAAATCGGAATATAACTTTCCATACTCTTTCAACTTGTAAGACTAACCCCCATAAATAAAATAAAGTAGACGTTTTATCATTTAAATGTAACTTTGGCGTATCGTGCTACACGTCCCTTTTTGTTAATTACAATATGATTTTTGAATCAGCGGATGAATACGTTTTGTAACTTTTATTGTAAGTCGCGTAATAACATCTTAAGAGAAAGAACAATAAAATTATGCAAGCGTTTAAAACAAAGAAAATTTCCAAAAATAAAACTGTTGTGATTATAATACGCGTAATCTTTATTGAATTATAAATAAAACCGCTATTGATGATTTATGCATTTAATTTTAGATAATTATGCAAATTACACATCGTCATGTGCACCATAAATATTTTTTTAACTTTTATATAGTAGTAGTACCTTATGCTGTTGAATGCTTGGAATTATGAATTTAGTAATAATATACTATATACTTATTGTAGCAATGCTCTGCTGTTTTCGATTGAAGCCATTTCGCAGGCTAGTTTGTGCCACGTTAATAGAATAATCTGGCCGTCAAATTGTTGAAATCGAAAACAGCAAAGTATTGCCTATAAAGACCTGTACAATAAGTTTTTATATATAAAATTAGCCACAAGTTTATTTATAGTCTATTTTAATGATTTTAATGACGAGATATTTATTTATTACATATAGTATATCATTAATAGAGCTATCCAATAAGTATAAAAAAAAATGTATAGTGTGATCTTTATATTAGGACATAATAAAATATTTTAATTACAATTTCTATATAGAAAGTTTGTCGGTTAAAGTATTGGCACATGATCATATATTGTTGGTGGAAACTGAAAACTTAATAAGTGATTAAATTCGTCTTATAATAAATTCATATTTCAACATTGATGTAAATTGAAAACTTAATAAGCTTAACAATTGTGATTAAAATTCGTCTTATAATAAATTCATATTTCAAAATTGATGTATCTTTACACCTCTATAACTTTGAATCTTTTTCATTAAATTCTATAAAAAATTATATATATACACACATATATATATATTAAATTGCCTAATATATTATTTTACGGTTTATGTCGATCACCAATCTGCCCATGTTTAAAAATAAGACAGTTAAAATTAAGTTAAAATTAAGAGTTATAAATAAGTAATATAATCATACTTACTATATTAAAAATTATTTAAGGGAAGAAACCCCCATTAAATAATTGATTTGTAAACGGATCATTCGTAATTTGCAATGGTAATTGCGTAATTAGATTTGAAAATGTATTTGCGTTATTGGTAGATATATATCTTCTATATGTTCTATTAATAATTCTACATCTAATTCTTCTATTCATGTTTCTTTGATGACGTCTACGAACAATATCATTATTAAAATCAATAAATGAAATTAAATTTCTGTAATTATTTAATGGCATTTTTATATAAAGGAGTTGAAGATGATAATTTAATATAATGAGAAAAAGAAAATCTGAGGTCATATTTATAAAAAAATTAGATAGATAACGATCGATTAAATTAATGAATAAAATACTGCACAATTACGTAGGATTTAATATGCAAATTATAAATAATCAAACTATAAAACAAACGAGTTAGAGCAACTAACAAAATATTAAATCGTGAATGAAAGTAAAAATGGATAAAATGAACTAAAGACAATAGTAAAACTCCAGGCGTTGTTTATCAGCGCAATCGATTAATTCAACAAATCAGAAGAATAAAAAGTACTGCACAATTGCGTAAAATTTGTAATTAAAGCTTTAAATAGTCAAATTATGAAGGCAAATCGTTAAGGCAATTTTATAAAGTAGTAATTAACATAAATAAAGATTGTTTCTCCGATATTTACCGAATTCATAAAATTGTAATATTTAAATGTACAATATAAAAATCCTTAGCATACAATGAATGGCATATTCCAGTACCTGAGTGGCTGAGTCCTTGCCTACACTTCTTTGCAGAAACTATAAAATTTTTCCCGATGTTAATATGATGCTGATACGGTATCAACAAAACACCAATATTATTCCAGTTTATATTCCTATAATGATATGTCACGAAACACACTTACCATTAAGTAACGGTAAAAATAATGCACATCATTGAGTATCGTTACAATGTTATCACTATATTATTACACGAATCTTAAAGACATCGTATTGTGATTGTTGAGAATTTAATGCTGTATTGTAAAATTAATGCCACATTGTTATCATAATTGTTATTAACATATATATTTATTATATAAAATACAGCACCAACATTATAAATATATTATCTAATGTAAAAATTAATTATTTTCCTCTTGTTATAATTGGATAACCGCGGATTTTTAAGCGATCAACGTACTAAATTTCCGTTGACATTGCGCCCCTGGTGACACAACTATAACAAGGTGGGAACCTGATTTGGACAAAGGTATCACCTGATTGATCTCTTTAGATACGCCTGCAGATAAAGAATTGAAGTTATTGATTTTATTTTTGCTCCCTTCAAATAGATGAATAGATGTATCCATTATTATATTATTACCTCTTTTCTCTCCTCTCTACTTTCTTCCTGCTATTCCCCCACTTCTATTTTTTGGTAGTAGTTCAACAAAATATGCTTCCAATCTTACTAATGACTTCACTTATCATAAACTTTATTGCACTACTCTCTTCTTTCTATTTCCTTGCAACCAAGTTTCTTCTTCATTTTATTTCATTTAGACGTCAATAATATTAAAGAAAAATGAAAAAAAACTTCCCAAATCCTGTAAAAAGAAACCAGAAGAGGTTATCTAAGGAAAAAAATAATGAAGTATGAATACCTGTTTGTTAATATAAACAAATTAAAAAAGAAAAAAATATTACCAAAAAACCAACATGTCTAAGGAGATCCAGGGATCAAAAAACTGGCTGCCTAAAAACGAAATAATCCAACTAAATTCCGCGTGCCTAGACTCATCTAAAAGAAAGCAAACCGAAATATTCAAAAAAAGGATTTCATGCAACCAAATACTGAAACACAATCTGTCTAAAGAGAAGAGAAGCAAGAAGTGTAATAAATGTTTGAACGTTTTATCAAAATAATAATTAAAATAAAAAAAGTAGAAAATCTATGAAATAAATCAAATAATGTTTAAGAAAAAAGAGTTCTTTAAAAACTTATGAAATGTCACGTCCAGAAGCCACCTAAAAAAAAATAAAAATAAAACTTTATAATGTTACAGAATTTGATTTTTTTTATGGGTACTTTCCAACTCTTTTTTCAAACAAAATATGAAAGAAGGAAAGAAAAGAGTACAAGGAACAAAGGGAAAAACAAAGGAAGTGAAATAGAAATAATGGAGGGAAAAAGTGAGTTAAAAAAATTTTATTTTAAAAAGAAAAAAGCGAGTGAAAGGGGAGTTAAAAAAGTAAAAAAAGTTTATTTTAAAAAGAGCAAGTGAAAGGGGAGATAAAGAAAGTTAAAAAAAGTTTATTTTAAAAAGAAAAAAGCGAGCGAAAGGGAAGTTAAAAAGTTAAAAAAAAATTATTTTAAAAAGACCAAGTGAAAGGGGAGATAAAGAAAGTTAAAAAAAGTTTATTTTAAAAGAAAAAAGCGAGTGAAAGGGGAGTTAAAAAGTTAAAAAAAATTATTTAAAAAGACCAAGTGAAAGGGGAGATAAAGAAAGTTAAAAAAAGTTTATTTTAAAAAGAAAAAAGCGAGTGAAAGAAGTTAAAAAAAAATTTAAAAAAAAGAAGTTCATATTAAAAAAGATCGAACTGGTGGCATATCACATGATATATAAATACTAGGAGCTTTTCCCGAAATTTTAAGATATTTTTGATATTTTTAAAATACTGTGACAATACCTATAATATGCTTTTTCTATATATATTTTTGATGAATTAACAATATTATAAAAAGAATTGTTTTGGTACAGCCTAAATGTCATGTGAAATCCTATTGCGATACAACTACCCCAACGGCACCCAGAAAATTCTTCGAACTCGGCCGGCGTTAAGCACTGACACGTGATCGAAGATTTAGGATGTGATGAATAAAACGTGACAAATAGAATTTCATCTACTTGAAAAAATCCAAGTCCCTCAGATAAATATAAACAGTGAAACTCGGACAGGGTGTGACGATGTGATAAATAAAAACAGATCACGTGATCGAAGAATTTTTCTGGGTTATAT